ACATTGAGTCGTCGGGATGTGGCCACCAGCCATTAGGTTTCGACGGCTTCCGCTGTCGTCCGACCGCAACTGCCTTCAAGACCAAATCCAGAGGGTTGCGAGCGATGTCAGCGCTTTGACGCGAGCTTTTCAAGCAATCGCGAATGCGCGGACAGTGGCAAGAGATTTGATGGGAGCCTACAATCACGAGTGTAGCGCTTCGTTGTAGCTTTCGTATATGTCCTCTCCATGTTTTGACCGAGCGGGACTCGGTCAAGCCTGGACACCCAGCAAGCAGCGAGCCTTTCCCGCTAAGAGGGAATGCTTCCGGCTCACACGTGTGATATCTCGATGCGAGAACGAGCGTCGCCAACTTAGTACAGTCCTTGAGAGCGGCGCTTTGGCGATCGGTGCTGCATTGCCCATCCGCTTTCCTGTATTTTGTCGCTGTGTTGCTGCACCACCAACGCCCAAGTCTCCACCATGGGTCGGCTTCATCAGTCGCGACAGAGTTGACATAGACCCGCTAAGCTGTCTTGTGTCATCTTAAAGGGATGCCACCTGATTCATCCATCAAGCATCTCAATCGCGCTTCTGCTGCAGCTGACACTCCCTGGACCATTCCAGCGCCTCTCAGATGCACAACCCACACCACCCGTCCGTCCACAATTCGTCTGCTCGTTCTTCATCACGCTTCGACCAGAACGCGTTTGAGGCGCGTGCGTATTCATCATCTTCGTGACATGTTCTCGGAGTAATGAGTATGATTCCTCAACGGCCCAGCGGAAAGGTACCGCTCGGATTTCTTTAGCCGAGGCCTAGACTTTGACCATCTCCCCGTGTCGTAAAGCCATGTCGTTGTGATCGCGACTCTGCCTCTGCAGCAATCGACCACGCAGCGCGGTCGCCTGACATGTCCGCGCGGAGGTTGCGGAGGAACCGAAGCAATGCGTTGCGTTGCGACGCGGCCGCTTGTTGTGCATTGCAGGAAGCTATCATGGGACCGCATTGTGTGCGGCATACACCTTTGTAGCTAGCTGCTTTGAATGTACGGTAATCAGCTTTGGTCTTGCCTCTTCATTTCAAAGGGTCTCACTTCCGTCTGCCCAATCTGCGGTTTGAGCCAGATATTGAGAGCACCAATCACGGCCAGCTCGTCACGCTCACAGGCCGGTGCCTTAGGGATCGTGTTCGTGTCACCAGCCCTGAAGGCTATGAAATGCTTGGATACGATTGGAAATGAGCACTACGAGCGTGCTTCTAGCACGCAATGCGATTTCTGTCCAAGCCCTTTTACCAGCGTTGGTCGCGATGTTGAATAAAGACAGTTCCTAGAGAGGCGCGCTTCGTTGCCGAGGTGGTGCGTTCGAGGAAGCTGACGCTCCCGTCTCCGCTGCGAAGCTAGCGGCATAGCGATCTGCTGTGTCTTTGCTTGGCGGGGAGATATATACCAGGCTTTGGAATTTTGCCTACCACGGGATGACTTGCAGATCAATCAAAAAAAACTTACCCAAAACTCCACCTTGCGGCTTGATGGCTACATGACCGCGCTGTTGCCTCAACAGACACGGTACCTACTCGACTGCATAGTAATGGACTTGCGCTTGGACGCGAAATGTCACCAAGTAATCGCGCTTCTCACGTCAAGCGGACCAAAGTGCTGATGAGACTGTCTCTCATGTCGCGCCAGGCAAGAAGGTACAGTAAGCGGACAGCCATTTTTCACCAGTCACGAGTGCTGGTTCATCTTGCTTGACCGCGAGCTTGTCTGCATGTTGCGGTCTGCTTCCACCACTGCGCCAAAGACGAAAGTTGTTTATGATGTGAACTGTGTTAATTATCAAATGGGGTCTAGGTAGCACCTGGAATACGACATGCAAAGTTGACACCCAAGACTCGAGCAATAGACGACCTTTACGACTGATTGGTATCAAGGCTAGCGCCAGAGTCATGAGGAGAAGATGGGACTGGTACCGGAAGCAAAATTGTTTTGACTTTTGACTTGAAACATACACGCAAGATCGCCGTGATTACTTGCAGTCAGACCGACTGAAACTGACAAGCGGAATTCTCTGATAGCTGGGCGACGGTTGACGCAATCTGCATGTCTCACGGATGGTGAACCCAGTGATCAGGTCATGGGTTTCGGGGCATCGCCACATGCTCCTCCACTCCTGAACTCGTATGAGGCTCAAATCGTACTTGATGTGTAGGCTCGAGCACCTAGCGGTGATGATGGATCCCGGTCATCATCACCACCTCACGACTCTTGACTGGCGCCTTTGCGCAGGGACCCGCAGCGCAGGCCTCTCGGCATTGTGTCTTCAGTCGACCTGACCTGACCCGCAGTCAGCCGCGATCGAGACTCTGATGAGTGTCTCTTTCGTCACTCACGACTCTGTGCCGAGTCGCAAGCTAAAGACACGGAAGAGAGAAGTGCAAGCGCGTCACTCAGGCCGAGTATCTCAATGTCTCGCATCTGCTCATGTGCAGGAAACCTTTAGCGTGGATGTGCACCTGCTGCGTCGCACTTGGATTCGCAGCTTTTAGCTCTTGCTGCATGCAAATGCATGCAAGAAAGACTTCTTGAACCACATCTGTGTGCTCGTCCTTCCGTGCTCTCAAGCCGCATCGCTTACAACCGCACCGCTGCGTTCCTCCCCTCCGCCCGTCCCCCTCCAAGCTAAGAGCGGCACCAAAGGGATCGAGCAGCAGCTGTTGGCACTCGAACTCAGAACAGTTTTCCCACCCCACGCTCACGCTGTTGTCCTATCCGAACCTAGCGCTAGACCAGATGTGCTTTGCAGCGAGAAGCTAAGCTTCGGTCAGCGCATTGGACACAAGTAGCATAGTCTAAGTGTAGCTCCACCCCGTTGATGAACCAACCAACAATCAATGTGTCATTCAGCACCGAATTAGGGTTCCAGAACCCACAGCCACTCACAACTGCAGGCCAACACGTACATGCGCACGCACCCCTTCCAGACTGCGAGACCATCCCGCACCTTAAAGCGATATCTGACCTAACGTCCACCACCAACCCGGCTTGAATGCGGAAAACAATGATGTGTATACCCGGCGCTTCCTAACGACTGCACGCACAAACTTGATGCCTATCAGTGTCATCTCACGTCTCGTTCCCATCCAATATCGCCTGCTTTACCATCTCGCTAGACACTCCTTGTGCCCTGCGTTCGCTGCGTAGCATCCATCTCCTCCCGCCGTTCGCGTTCTTTCCAACAAACAGGATTGCTCATCAGGTCTGCACTCGTGTCGACATCACCAACGTCTCGTTCATACACTCTCTCTGATCACCGCCTCTCGCTCCGAAGACCGGGAAACACAGCACCTCAGGCTCATCGAATTCTCGCGGACTGATCGCATAGTCGCGACTTCAGCTTCGCCTTCTTGGCGCAACCTTTGCCCTCCAGCGTGCTGCTAGCAGACCATTGTCTCGTTGCTCTGTCGTCCTAGACGGTCGTTGAGGCCCCTCCCCCGGGAGCAAGCCGATGAGTTGCCTTGGATCTGCACACGCGTATCGCACGACCCTCGGCCAACTGGCCGCTTAAGTTGTTAGCATCGCGACACCTCGCCTAACAGCTTTGCGCTTGGAGCGCGACGCCAACGAGCATCTTGATTGGTTGCAAGAGGCCGAGCTCTGCGCATTCGAATGCTTTGATCTGCCGTCATGTATGGGGGAGACTCAGATGGCTGGAAAACAACCTCACCGCACGCGTCGCAGCAGTTCGCCCGCGACGCTTCACGGCGGCCGGATGATGTGATGTTTGCAAGTACCTCTGCTTCGAGCACGCTGATGGGAGCATTCGAGGGCTTCGAAAATCGCGCATCTGTTCCGCCGCTTCGAACAGGCGGTGCACCACCTCAACCATCCGGGAGCACAACTGCAACATCTGCTCTTCAGCACAATGCCCGCCAAGGTGATACCAGTCGGCGATCGGGCGACTTAGCGTCAGGAGATGTATCCGGACCTTCCGCTTTTGACGCTTTTTCTCAGCCAAGCCTCGACGATTCAAGCGATTTCATGATGGACCATCTGGGCGGACAAGTATCAAACGTTGCGCCTGCGGAGTTCCTGCATGCTCTGAACCCACAGACCGAATCGCATGCCTTCCCTCAGTCTGATCAGCTCGCCGATTTCATCATGAAGAATTTGTGAGTAAGGCCTCATTAGCATTCATCACCGATTGCAAACGCTCACGAGCTCTTGGCATACACCCAGTGGTCATGGAGAGGGCGCATATTCTCAAGCTAGGCCGCTTCAAGCTGGAACATCGAACTGGAGTCTAGCTTCGAGTAACCACCACGAAGGCTCCTCTGAACCATGGCGCCCGTCTCAGGGCGTTCATACAGTCGGAGAAAGCCACGGAAGCCAGGGGCTTCAAAGCCCTCTGACGGCTTCTGTGGCGGGGCCTCTGCAGCGCCCACATCGACCGGCAGCGTTGGACCTCAACCGCGATGCTGCACGAGAAGGACAGCTGCTAGGCGTCGATGTTGCTCATTCTGGCGGCACGCGATCACAGGACAGGACGCCTTCCAGAGCAGAGCATCTTCAACCCAGCGCGGATGCCTTTGCCCAGTCTCACGGTACGTCGGAGGCAGAGCTTAGGACACCTCAGGCACCAAGTCGCTTCTACAACGTTCCCGGACTTCATCCTCCTCTGTTCGACGGCCAAAACTCGCACGAGGGCGATGATCTCGGACACACCACAGACTACTTGGGGCGCTTGATCGGCGCAAATGATCAAGCTAGCGCAATTCGCGTAGATGATCCTAGACAACTGCACAACCGTGGCTTCGCAGAGGGAACTTCGACATTGCCACATGCCTTCTTGCCATTATTCGGCAGCATGCACGGAGAGTCTCACTCATCCTCCTCGGATGCTCCCCAGGACTCTGAGCAGCTGATGCACGCAACGCCTCTACGACGGCCTCCACGGTCCCCGACCTTCCAAATGCCTGTAGGTGCCGAACCTCACCCTTCCATCGGTTCAAGTCCATCGACGCTCTCGGCTGCCTTTTCACAGACTCCTAGCCGTTCAAGCAGTCACAGTGGACCCTCCTCGACGCCATTCGACCATTCGGCGATTGCCTCGGGGCCTGGTCCGAGCCCAGCAGCGTCTAATCCATCGAGGCTTTCTAGCAGGTCGAGCTTCTCAGAACTCTCCCAATCAAGCATGCGCAGTGTTGCGGAGCCGCAAAGCCGACCAAACAGCCGGCCTCCGGGCAGGACCGGTGACTGGCAACACCAAAGCTTTGCTGATCCTCAATCTGCATGGCAGTCCTTCGACAGCGAAATGGGGAGCAGCGAGCATTCTGGGCACTTGGAGGAGGCACTGCACAACATGGGGCATCATCCTAACCACGAGCAATTCTATCTGGCGTCCGCGACAGGGCTGACCCAGCGTCCTATGGAATATGACATGGCTTATGCAGATCACAATCTGGCTCACGCAATGGCAGCCAACGCTCATATTGGTTCTCAAACCAATCGGGATGGCGGCAGCACACCAACCATCATGGAGGAAGACGAGGGGCCTCCGGGCACCCACCATTCCAGAGGTCAGCACCACCTTCCTCTTGTTTCCCACTCCCTGACCTCTCAAGCAGGACCCTTGATCGGTCATCAGCAGGTCCAGCAAATGTCTGCTCAGCACTATCAGCCCTCGCTTCAAAATGCGGCGTATCCCAACGTAGCTCACCAAGCGTCCCAACAGCCACTGTCCTTTCATTTTGGTGAGAGCGGGCACGGTGGCGGTCAATTGCGCTTTGACCAAGGGTCGCCGAATCGCGCACAGCGCGCTTCTGGTCCTGCATCGTCGCCCAGTGGGTCGAGGCGCTCTGCTTTTGTTCCTTCGCAGACTGTTCAGGCAGCGAGCGGCAGAGTGGGAGTCATGCGGCCAGATGGCTTTCCTGTCGGTCATAGTGGTCTTTCGGGCATTGGTCCAGCCAGAACGGCAGTGGTGCTCAAGAGAGCTTACCGTCCGGGCATTCACCCAAGCACGCTTCAGCAAGCGTCCTTTCTGCGGATGGCGAGCAATCCGATAATGTCTCCCGCGCTGTCAGGCGACACCGAACCCACTGATTGCTTGAGCTTCATTTCGTGAGTGCCGTTTGAGCTGCGCAAAAGCTTTGGGCCCACAATAGTCACAGTGCACTTACCAACTTGCATCATGTCTGCAGCGACACGATGGACAATTATCTGTCAAGCTCAAGTCGACTCGGTCTCGGCGAGCGCACTGTCCTGGTGATGACCAGCAAAGTCGGACAGAAAAGCTATGGCGTCGAGAAGCGGTGAGTGCTGTAAAGGTGCCGCGTGGTGGCGTGCTTTCCCGCTGAACTCTGCAATGATTGCGTCCTCCAGCTTTCTTTGTCCTCCGCCCATGGTCGTGCTGATCGGCAGCAGCTGGTGGACATCGGCGCAGAAACCCACTCCTACTTTCGTGGACGGTCCTGGAACCGTGTCCGAACATGCCATGGGGGTCGCTCCCCCACGAGTGGTCGTGAGCATTAGTGGCGAACAGCATTCGATTCAGGATGGATCACTTGAATGGGCCGCGAACAGTGGCCGCTTGATTGACGTCAGCGGGAATGGCTCCACGGAGTTGGCAATCTCTGGCAGATGCATTGCCAAGCAGCTCTTCATCAACGACCTCGATGAGAAACGCCGATACTGCGAGGCAAACGTCACGATCAGCATGCCCGGTCGCAATCCGGACGAGCACCATCTCCTCGGACACTTTCCGAGCAAGCAGATCAAAGTCATCAGCAAGCCAAGCAAGAAACGCCAAAGCGCGAGAAATGCTGACTGTGAGTCGGACGCTTATATGCGGTAGCCAAGCACCGTCCCGTTCTGTCAACTCATAGTTTAGATTTTGCCCAGTGTGTGTCAATCACGGCACGACAATCTCGCTTTTCCATCGCCTGCGAGGTCAAACGGTCTCGACGCGTTATCTCTGCGTGTCTGGAGCTCCAACGTGGCTCAAGGGATCTGATGGCCAGACCTTCACTACAGCTGCGCAAGAAACCTCTTTGCCTAGCACGTCGGAGCCTCCTTCCTGCTTCATGGCGAAAATATCCAGCTGGGACGCCTTCATCGTTTATCTCGTGGATCCAGCTAAATCGACGTTGAGTCACAAGGCCACACCAGAGTCCGAGGCAGCCCGCTTTCCCACGCCCCCCGAATGCGCTTATCCCGCCACGACGTACGGCGCAGCACCCAGACCGATCCATTACAACCAGCCAGTCGTGCTGCAATGCCTGCAGACTGGCGTTGTGAGTCCCGTGATGGTGATTCGCAGGGTGGACAAAGGTACGACAGTGATGGGTGGAAGCAGAACGTTCGGATCCGAGGGCTTCTATCCTTGCAGCGAAGCGCTCGGCGATCCTGTTTCTCAGCTGCACAAGATTGCATTGGAGGTGCTTGACGACTTCAAAGTCCCAGCTCCGGACCCAAATCTTCGCCATCCCTCCGGCGAGCTTCGGCCGCCAGGAGACAGCCGTCCATTCCTCTCATGCAACAACGATCAGGTCGGCATGCGCAATCCTGATGAGCCTCGTCGATGGGTGCCGAACGTGGGCGGTATTTCAGCTCCCACGACCCCAATCACACCAATGACATTCCCTCAGCACGACGCCATGATGCTCGACGAGTCGAAGAAGTTCCTCGGCACGCCCCCAACCAGTCCCACGGCTGCGACGGCTGCGGCGTACGCAGCTGCACAGACCAGGCATAGCGTAGCGCAAGCTCGCCACCAGCCATCGATTGGAAGTGGACTTTCGATGAGCTCCAATGTCGCGTCTCAGGGCGTGGGCTCTGCCTCGCAGGAGTCTGCGGCATCAACATCCTCGGCCGCCGACTCCTCCAAGGCTCGTAGGCCGAGGCGAGTTTCTTCCTCTGTCATACAACACAAGGAACGCGCTGCGCAGAATGCCGCTAGCAAAAGCAGACGCAGAGGCCAGTCCATGTCGACAGTCAATCACATGCAGCAGCTGTCGGGCACCGGCAATGCATCCGGCACAAGCTCGCCTGGCAAAGGCGAACATCTGCGTCGAACCAGCTCGTTTGCGACATCTGCTGCTTCCACAGAGTCCTCTGTCGGAGGTCCTCCTGCCGGATCGACGTGGTCCATCGAAGTCAAGGACACGGACATTTGGACCATCGTGGGCACCGACATTGCTCGACACACTTTCTACATTCCGCCTAGAATTGTGGACGGCATCAGACCCAAGGCGCCGAAAGCGGATCGCAGTGTCGCTCATTTGATCACAGTGCCAACACCGAGAGAGCCCATCACACCGATTCCTGTGCTTCACCACTTCACCGCTCCACAGCGGACACGGACACAACCTGCACACACCGCAAGCCCCGCCTCGCGCACAACTAGTGGAAGCGAATGGATCACGCTCTTTGGTGAGAATTTTGGTCACAACCTCTTCGTCTACTTTGGCGACTGGCGCTGTGACCAAGTGGAAAGGCAGTCCACCACTACCTGGCTTTGCGCCCCTCCTCCCTCGCACGACGTCAGTGTGGGCGGCGAAGTTCTCCGCGGGCCTTCGCCTATCACGCTCGTGAGACACGACGGGGTGATTTTCCCCACGGATCACATTTATCGGGGCTAGACTATGGGGTCACTCTCCTGACCGCGTCAATGCCCCCTTGTGACTTCTTCGCCTTTCTTGCAATTCGACACGTACCGAGCCCTTCGTCCATGACGATACCACCCTACCTACGGACGATACCCTCCTGCATCATCTAGCACCTTTGACATTCCCAAGTTTCTCCGCTTCGCTCAACGATTTCAGCTCCACTTGCACATCTCGCTACGGTTTGCATTGAGAGCTCGCCAGAAGATCCCTTGTCGAAGCGCACCTGTAACAGTAGCCTCCAACGTGGATACACCTGCCAAGTCTTCTTTTCGCCGGTCCAAAACTTTCTTTAGCCAGCGGATTCAAAAGTGCTGCGCTCACACTCACACTCACTTGTGCAACATACCTTCACTGGCGGCGCCGGGCCGCGAGGCCGAGGCTTGACGCAATGTTATTGATCGGAGACATCTTATTTTGCGTGAGCAGTTCATCTCAGTCTGGAGTGTCGTTGCGCTCGATTCGAGAGCGATTAGGAGTGACGGACTGTCTCAAGGTGACCTGTCTGTGCGACTTCTGCAGCGAAAGTACAGAGAAAGCATACCTCGCCCTAGCTCACTAAATGTTCAAAGGGCGTGTGCCGCTGTACAGCAGAGACGCATAAAAGAAAGAAGACATCTTGTCTCTTGGCTTCTCGACGTTACGGCGAAAGCACCTGCTTTTCTTAGCGCGAAATGAGTTCGACGCTACTACTGTATACCCGTGCCACATCGCTCAGGGACTGTGCCCATCTGAGCGCGTGAGAACCACGATGAGGTGACGCTTGACATGAGTGTCTATGAGCTTGCCGCCCCTTGCCCCCTTCTCGCACTCGAGACTCGAGCGTAGGAACTGGCGACGATTGCACCATGTAGCGCGCAGAAGGCTTCGTCATTAGTGTGGGAGTGAGATAGCGGATTGACCAGCCCGTCCAAGGCTGGCAGGTCCCAATCTCGCGAAGGAGTGACTTGATTGGTGCAGGCAGGAGTCATGAGTCTCGAAGCGGACTCTGGAAGGCAATTTTGAATTTAAGAATCAGTCCACAG